AAGAATTCACCAAATGAAGGATAGGGATGGAAACAAACAACACGAAAGAACAATCATCCAAGAGTACTATAAGGAACTCTACCCAGCACATCGCCATCTCAGAGATAACACTTGCACTCTCACAGCTTTAATCTGAAAGAGCTTCTGGGAAGGACGGAATCACAATAGAAATGTTAAGACTAGGAGAAGAAAATGCGGTAAAAGCAGTACAGTCTCTCTTAAACAGATGCGTTGAGACAAGTCAAATCCCACAATCGTGGAACAACACACAGGTCGTCATACTCCACAAAAAAAGGTGATAAAAACTCAATAGAAAATTATAAACCCATCAGCTTGCTACATAACAAACAGACTAACATCAAAAATGGACTCCTATCAGCCAGAGGAACAGGCAGGTTTCCGGAAGAGATATAGCACCACAGATCACCTTCAAACAATTCACACACAAACATGGTAAAGGGAGACCTCAAAAGAGGTGGATGGATAACATTTACCGGAAGGCAGGAAGGGGATGACAACACATTGCACAAGACCGTCAGAGATAGAAATTGGATGGCCTATGTTCAGGAGTGGATGCGACTGGGCTGCTTATGACGATGATGATGAATCAGTGGCTGTAACCCCTTTTGCGTATGAATTAATAAGAGACCCATAATATGCACTTGGGTCTATATCTCAACGTGGCTCCTTCAGTATGCGCTTGCGCGTACTTTCCACAGAAGATTTTTAGGTTAGGTTTTCCTGTTTTGTCTTGCTTTTGATCTTGTATTTTTTTACTAAGTTTCGTAATTTTGTTTCTATACTGACCCTGAAGTTTCTATCTCCCCTTTTAGGGTAATTTTTTCAGTTACATATCTGTTGATTCGTGTCATGTGATGGAGGATGGAGGAAACAAGAAAAAAAGCTGTTAATGAGCAAATGTCCACTTTACTTGCTGATACATATCGGGTCTTCAAAAAAAAAACCAATCAAAGATTGCTTTGGTTACGAAAACGTACGTCGCATTATTGTTTATTGGTCAGGATTTTTGACATGATATTTTGACAATAAATTTCATTGACTGACATTGTCAAAATTAAAGAAAAATATTGCTAAGACGTACGTTTAAAAAACCATAGCAATCTTTGATTGTTTTTTTTTTTGAAGACCCGATATATATAAGTGTCAGTTATGAGGCTCTATTATATGTTTCAAAAAGTCTACATACAAGAAAATCAGGGATGAATTCAATTGAACGCCATTCCGTCCACAGCATTGTGCCTGAGACCAAATCTAGCCATAATAAAAAAGCTGAACACCAGAGAAGATATTTCGCGCCATTAAAAAAGGCAAAAATTACGAAGAGTAAAACGATGCATTATTATAATCTCTTGTAATATTAGCACAGATCACCTGTATTATAGGTAGATACTCTCTTTTTTATTTTAGGTGCGATTTGATTTTTCTGTGTCAAAATAAATTTTTTAACCAAATACATACCTACCTTTGTGTTTTACTTATTACAGATATAAATAGTTAAGGGCGAGATTGGGTTTCTTGTGCTAATTTTTTGCTAACTAAAAAATTACCCTAAACAGGGTAAATAGAAATTTCAGGGTCAGTAGAAACAAAATCAGGGAACCTAGTCAGGCAACAATGTACAAAATCAAAACAAAACAATAAAATCCAACCTAAAAATCTTTTGTGCAAAGTAGGCGCACGCGCATATTGAAGGAGCCACGTTGAGATATAGACGCAAGTATAATATGCTCGGTGAAAAATTATTAGGTGTGGGTTGATAGTTTGATTAGTACAGAATGGCATGGACGCCACTAAATAAAAAAAAATACAATAAAATCGCTTAAAATAGGGAAGGGTGAAAATTCAGAAACACACTTAGAAAATAATCAGCAAACGGTAATTGGTAATTCTGAAAAAAAAAAAAATAATGCACATATATGAGAAATATAATAGAAATCCTCAAATATATAACCCAGGGTTGAAAACTGATCAATTTTTGACGTTATAGATACTAATCAATAAGTTTAAATTTAGAGCATGTTGTCCAACCTTGACTTTTGTTCAGATTACTTATCAATTATTATTGATAAAAATGATAAAATATAAGGCAATAATAAAAGTTATGCAAACACAAATCCATAAAAAAAAGTCGCGTGCAGCACAGTACACGTGATAGAAGTGAATACTTATTTATCGATCTCTTTCTCTCTCTCTCTCCCTCATATTCATCATATGCTTCATCTCACTTGCGTGACGAAAATTTTATAAATCGTGTCGTGACGCGACCTTGAAAAATCACTCTCATGCGGCCAAAGAAGTATTCACTTCAATAATTCTTCAAAATCTTTACCTATTTTACAAATGTAACTCAAATTCCTACCAGGAATCAGAAAAACATGTTTCGGGGCCCCCAAAAATTACTCCAGAAGGCCCCCAGAACCAGAAAATCTTTCTTTGGTTGGATGATGTTTTTTTTTTTTGCAAAAGTACAAAGTCCAAATTCATATTTTTCCTTTGCTGGATTATTTTATTAATTAAAAGGCACTTCTTGGCTTTTCTTTATCTGGAAAAATGGAAAATTTATATAAATAAACAAAATATAAATATAAACAATAAAGTGAGGTTATGTTGACTCTGCTGATTGAATGACGCTGGACACATGACGCAATCTGTTAGTGATTTGAAAAAAGGTAACTTTTAGGGGAAATTTCTAAATAATTTGAATAAATTTAATTAAATTCTCTTCTTCGAACTGTTTTTATAAATAAACAACGAATTTTTATTGGTAAAATTACAAATTATTTGGTTTTAGTTAGGTGGCGCCATCTATTGACAAGTAGCAATACTAAAAATGTGTCGATCATTTGGGTGCATTCAACGGACGTATCTTTAATTTTTAGGTAAATTTCTTATTAAAATATTTATCGATTACATTCACCATCTCTTTCTCTCTCTTTCCCTCATATTCATCATATGCTTCATCTCACTTGCGAGACGAAAATTTTATAAATCGTGTCATGACGCGACCTTGAAAAATCACTCTCATGCGGCCAAAGAAGTATTCACTTGAAAAATCGATAAACCAAAAGCTAATTTTCCACCATCGCGTCAATAATAAGAAAATATTTTAAATGTGAGTGAAAATCATATAAAAAATAATATCTTAATTTTGTTAATTGACTATAAAAATGATTTTATAAAAGTAAAGGTATTAAAAGTTATAAGTAAAACTTAATATAAGCCTCCATTCCAACATAAGGAAACTCCACATGGAACTTGCAGATTCTAGCCTAGAATCCAGGTAGATAAAGGACTAGAATTATCGTCAAGTGTGGGACAAACGTATCGACTTGTGAGGGTCTTGATTCTTGTAGGGTAGGAATCCCTTTAAAAGCTCTATGCCACACTCCACAAAAATGGTGTGCATTTGAAAATGTGTCCTTTTTGGAATGGACTTGTTGAGAGAAACGGCTTTCCGAAAGACCCTAAGTAATAAGGCATTCCTTGAAAATCTATTACTTGAAAAGAAATTAAAAAAACTTACCACGAGGGGCGTTGAAATTCAAACTTAAATTGAACAATAATCACAAGACTTTTTAATTAAATTTTTTTGGTAATCAATGGATTATTCCTCTACGCAACTTTATTTCGTTACGATAATGCCTGAAGGCCGATAAGGTACTTTATTTTTCTATGGCACGGTTGTCTCGAGAAGATGGCTGATCGACTTTGCAGCTCGACGATACAATTCGAAAAGGAAGAGAATTGAAATGGACAAGATGAGGTTTTAACGGAAAACGTTAGTACCAACCAGTACGTCAAATTTAAATGAAAATCGTGCGCTCTAGTGTTATAATTCAATAATTGCTAACATTATAAGTAGCAGGAACCCTCTATGTTGAATATTAGTCAAGAAAAAATTAAATTTTTAGAAAAAGGAACGAGTAACTTTACACGTTACATGGTCCAACCAAATCTAGATTTGCAACAAACCTTTATACTTTCACAAATTATAAAACAAACCAGAAATCAATAATGTCATTGGTGCTTCCTATTGTAGAAATATTCATGATAATGATCCGCACCTGAAGTGGAAAACTTGTCTTGGGACAAACATTATATTGAAACCAAACTCCCGTTATTTTTATCAATACCTTTTATTGTCGTCGTTATAAAATTCGCGTACCTAACCTCTCCTATAACTTTTCTAATTCGACTGCAAATTGTTTACGAAGCTTTATGACCAGTTTAATAGGAATAACAAATTAAGCATTGTGAAGCAATAAAAAAGTTTCTCTGGACTTTTAGGGTCCATAAATACGGTTATTACTTGTATAACTGGAAAATTAGAAAGAAAACAATTCTTAAAAAACATTTGTTGTCTCTTTGGCTAACAATTCCTGAAACTTTTCCGCAATTTTCTGACCATCAATTATATTTTCTCTCCCAGAGTTATTCCAAAGCTATTTTCCGCTTAGATTCCTGTGGTAAATTAAAAAGTTTTTTTTTTTATAATTAAAAAAAAAAGGCGAAAAGTTCGGGCTTATTCGAAATACTTTCTTGATAGCATTTTAAGTAGCATAAAAAAGTTCAGAGGCATTTTAATGGAAGGCGCCCTCGCTTACACCAATGCCTTGCCTCCCCAATGTCAATCTTTTTAAAATTACCTTATTTACTTTAGCCAGAGAAATTAGATTTTAAAAAAAGACCGGATGGCTTAAATTGCATTAGTCGATGATTAATTTTCTTTTAAATTTTGTAAAATAAGATCATTTTTTTCTTCTAGAAAATTACCGTGTGTATTCTTAGAAGAACATTTCAAAGTGCTGGAATTAAGTAAATATTAGCTTCTAAATACTTTAAACTCAAGGCAAATTAAGAACGCAAGCCGTTTAACTAGAAACGGAAGCTGTAAAATGTAAATTAAACTTTAGTTTTAGTCCCCAAAGCAAGCATTTCCAGAGAGCGACATCAAATAAAACTGTTAATTTTCGTTTCAGAACATCCTGGATAAATTCAATCCGGGAGCCAGGCAAATGATCAACGCTGGAAAAGCATACTTAAAGGCGCTTCACAGTGAGTATAAATATTATTTACTAATTATATTAAAACGAAAAAAAAAAGGTGAGTATGCATAAACTTGTACCCTCGCCTAGTTAAATTATCCTCCAAAGTAAACGAGATTGCGGTTCGGGAAGTAAAGGCGCATACATGAATACCTCTCGGCAGATTATTCGGATAATAGCGTACGTAAACATTGTTATGCCTTTACCGGAAGCATAATTTTGTCATTGAATATAACAAGGTTCCTGCTAAGTAAATATTTATGTAGCTTTTGGAGTCACATGACCCTACGACAAATTTTTCCAATAGCAACAGTTGCAACAGAAACGAATTGTTACCCAGCGAAAAAGGAAATTGTATTTGCCGCTACGGGCAAAAGTAAATTTCATACTATAAATCTGGAATATTGCCAGGGTTTTTGATTTTGTTTCGTTGAACTCTTTGAGCTAGAAAAAAGGTTGTTTTTTGAATTTTGTCATGTTGAAGGATTTATTTGAAAACTCCTTACAGGCATCACACTGTAAAATATGTTTTTCACCTTTTCGTGAGAGCCAAAAACAGCACATTTCCTCTTTAAGGAGAATTACTTTGAAAGAAGACATGCATATAATGAAAAGAGAAATTGAGTTCTGGATCAAAACATTCTTACGATAAATTTATCATTTTCGTAACATGTCCCATTTTTCCTAATTTTCTTTAAAAAGTTGTATTTTTGCCATTTCAGAATCAGCAAAATAATAATTCATAACTTAAAAAATTTAAAAGTATCTACAAAATTTAATTAATTCAATATAATATCAGTATTGTCATCTATCCATAATGAGCATAAAAATGCAAATATCTGTTATTAAAAGAAGGTAACGCCATCTAGTACCTGATAAACTTATTTTTTAAAATATGATTTTTATTACAAATAGACATATTTCTGTTTTTGTCTAACTTCCGATTCTGAAATAATTATTATTGGCTCAATGACCTAAAGTCCGTCGATTTTAATCTGACACTCGAAATGAATGTGAGCTGGTGGCACCCTACATTTAACATTAGAACACCAATGGTCACCTGACGTCACACCTGTGTTTACCATATATTTACTTCATCCCCTCGCTCCTCATACGGAAAGTATCAAATAAAAATCGACAAACAATAATTAATTGGTGATTTTCTGTTTTCAACATAACCTTAGTTTAAATTATTGTAATTTGTGAACAATTAAAATAATTCTAGTGTGTTTTTATCTATTCTCTTTTAATCAGCGTGGTTTTTCATTGATGAAGTGAGATTGGTTTCCTGCAGGGTAGAGGTTCTAAACCGGCCTTTTTTCTGACAGAACTACTAAACAAGCGATTCGATTTCATTTTTGTAATTTTTTTCTTCAGATTTCTAGATTTCCCCTTGATATTTTTCAATTTATTTTACCATCAGTGTATATCATCATATCACTGTTGATTCCTTACCTGATAAATCTTATCTTATCTACCTTTGAAATATAAATATTATATTTTAATTTTTATTTTATCTAATTGTGTGCCTCCATTTTGTGATTGGTGGTCTCACGTTTTTCCGAGGTGAGTCAATTCAGAGTTTTGGCTAATAAATAGGAACTGCTGCTCTGGTTTTCAGAATCAATTGTTAGTGTGGGATTATTGAACCATTTCCTTTAAATAGAGACGGTGCAAATCAAATTTGTGTGTCCATCCCTATCAACTTTTACTGAATCCAGGCAGAGGCTTGTATAGCCATTTACTGTTGGACTCTCTCATTCTCTTCTCGAGAAGGAGAGTGATGAAAAAAAAGGTGTAACTTTTAAAATAGAAATCCCGATAGGTCAAAAATTCATTTAAAAAAAGTTTTAATTAAAACATCTCAAGAATTTTGACAATTCCTGGATTTAATTAATTTCACCCTCAGTTTTATCTTATGGTACCTATAGTAGGTACCTTAACTTAAAAAGGAAGATTTATCTATTCGGGGAAAATCTGGATCATTATTTTTTTTTATCTTGTTCAATTTTTCTTACATTCTTTTTATTTAAATTTTGCCTGTTTGGTGCAATTGCTTGGAAAGCAGCATTCTGCTCAATTATAAAAAGCATCTATCTTCAATCTTACTGTATACTTACCTAATTATTACGACTTGAAAGATCCCTATTTGGAGTCTGGATCAGCTGGAGAGGCGTCACAACAGCAATGTATCCTCTTTCCTGGATACAGGAAACAACACGAAGAGCTCCAGTTCACGGAAGTGAAACCCCAACATCTAATGAAGAGCTTCGGATTGGAAAAGGTACACACTGTATCAGTGTGTCACCGCTGTCACCAGAACAACCAAACTGCGAACTGTCAAATTTTCAAATGCAACTTGTTACTTGCATTGTTACTAACATTTGCAAATATTTAAATTGTGAAAATAAAATTATTGTTTGTTGAAATTTGAGTGGTTTTATTTGCACATAAAAGGGGCTACATGTTTTCTTTATTTCTGAATTCCACGACCCTATAGGTTCTCTTGTCTTAAAGTACAAATCACTGAATTTATTCGTACTAACATCCAATGCAATGCAAAAAATTCCGAATTGTTTGATTACTACTTGATCGGTATGACCCAAGCTTTAAAAACCAACAGCCAACAATTTTCCTGAATTATTGAGACTGTCTGAGACACCTGCTTCAATATGATAAATGAAACTTTCTCAAACTGTTTAAAGCAATTATTGAACTAACATCCTTGTGTTGATCGATCACTCTTTTAATTATTTTCTTTCCTTTTTTCCCCGTTAACGGAATATGATTGACTGCTTAATCCTTCATTTCAAGTAGCTATCTGCATTCGCCTCTATACAAACGAGAAGCAAGAACCGTTTTGAAAGAAAACAAAAAGTGATTGATGACGTTGGTAGGTTATAAAAGAATGATGCCTCGAGAGGGTGGTTGTTTTTTTTTTTTTTAATAGAGTCGCTTTAGGTGATTTTCTTTGCTGAATTCAATTTCCTTTTGCCAATACACAAAGTGTCAATCCTGAAGTATTGAATAAGCAATAATTTAAAATGCACCCTCTCATTCACTTAGCTCGGTTGAATAAGAGAGCCAATAAAATTAGAGTCCTTTTTTACCCCTCACAAAAGCCGTCAATAATATGAAAGCGCTTTTCTTGAAACCGAGATTCAATTAGAAGTAAAAGGGTAGAACGTCTCTATTATAGCTGGGGCAAATTTGTGATAATGAAATTCTTGTCGAATCACTTGTACAACAATGGAAAAAGTTGCCGAATGCATGGCGTCTGGAAAGTGCATCGATATTGAAAAAAGTGCGAAAAAGGGGAGCCAGTAAAACGACGTCGACGCTCCGGATCCGCGTCTCGACGCTGACGATACGGCGTCGCTAGACCTTCAATAGGGACCGTTTATTTCTTATATTTGGTTTACTTTATTGAGAGCAGAGAAATTCAGTTTTCGAAATGATTTGGATAAAAATCGACACAAACTTTGCTAAACTAAACTTAGAAATACAAATTATTGACGTCATGCGCAAAACGGTCCCTGCTCAGGCGCCAAATTTGTAGCGCTACTCTGGTTTTCCGGTAAGAAAGCGGTTGATTTCGGAATTTTCGGGAAACTCGGGCGCCACCCTTAGAATTATAGTGGTTAAGGGCGCACGTGCTCTAGGTAGCTTTTGAACAGTGGAGACGGAAACGCAGAGGTCAATACGCATTTTCCCCAAAATGAAACATACAATATCCTACAATGTACTTTTTCTTAATGCCCAAATAAATAAAAATAGAAAGGAAATATGGATGTAAATGATGAATGAACTAAATTAAATATATAGCGAGTAAGAGAGAAAAGCATTCAATTCTTTTATGGTATAACCGTTAGTATTAGTCAATCAATATTTATATTCAAGAGCCAGGTACCTACAAGAAGAAATTTCAATTTTTTTTCCTTATTTCTATTTTTTTTTCCTTTCAATCTCCAGCTATTCCCGGCTCTTGAATTTCTATTATCTTCTAAACAAAAACCTTCAAACAATTCGGAAGGCAGGCATAAAAATATTAGAAAAATTACAATGCAGGAACCAGGAACACAAGAATGAGGAAAGTTTAAAATTTTAGGAAACAAACTTAAGAACTTCCAATAAATCATCTTGAAATCAATCAAATAATAATGATGTAACATTGCAATGTTATACTTGCTTCAATATATTGCAAAAGACTTGTCACTGTTGCAGAATATTTGAAAGTAAATTTGCGCTATGCCTTCTTGCAACTATCAAATTCAAATAATGTCGATTCAGAACAGCAAAATTCTCAGTCCATTTACATTGCAGCTTGCTCAGCTGCCTTTTATGCTGCCGCAGCTACTTCAACTGCATAATGTTTGGGTTTCTTTGTAGTTTCGTCGACTCGATTTCTCGGGCTTTTGTACAAATTGAACGAGAACTTTATGTTTTTTTTTCGCAGTTGATCTTTTTTTAACTTACTAGGAAATCTTATACTTTCACACTGGACAAAATATTTTCCAATTAAACTTCTTCCTTTAAGGAGGCCGATATGGTAATTTTCAAGTATCTTGTGTAGTCTAATTGATAAGACAGCTGCTTTGTATTGGACATGAATCTTGAATATTCAAGTAGTTTTGTTCTTGAAATTAATTGAATCTCAATGATGATGCTCTCTCAGAGTTTACTCCTTTAATTGAATATAAATTAAACTTTTAATAAGTTTTACTTTATTATAACAGGCCAGAGGTGTCCAATTAAAACGAAATATTATTATTCTCGTAGCATACGGAGAACTAATTACAAACTAACAGGAACTAGTAACAATACGTCAGACTAGTTATTTGTTTCGGAGGTCCCTAGTGTCAATGGCAGAGACTTTGTTGCAGTAACTATTATGACCAGGCGATGACGAACAGAGTTTCACATTCTAAAGAGAACTAGAATTATCATATATGATTGTGAATGCTACATATTTTTTTTTTGTAAATATTATCTCTACCGCAAACTTTATAA